TAACCTTTTTTTAATTTAAAAAACTAAATTTATAGGCACCCGAGGGCCGCCCCCCAAAACCTGCCGCCTTAGGCACAGGCCCTCGGGTTTCTTAATATAAATACTCCCCTGTCCTCTCCAAGAGATAACACGGCACCTACATCAGTAGCAGTTTCTGGAAACCGCAGATATTTTGTATGTACAATACTGTAGCAGGTGCTGAGGAAGGCATCCACCTTCTAATTAAATCTGACAAGGACAGTCAAAGTAAACTTTATTGTAATCTCAGCAGTATACGGATACACAGTGAGATGAAACGACGTGGCTCCAGCTAGTATATATCACAAAAAAGCACATAGAATACACAATAAATATTTAAACATTTGAAATGTGCAATATATTGGCAGAAATTGGATATATACATGTGTAAACCTTTAGAATTGTGCAAATAAATTAACAGTTCACAAAGTTAAGTTCACAGTTCAGGTGTGTCTGGAATGTAGTGGGAGGGCAGGCAGTGAGTTGAGGAGTCTGATCGCTTGTGGAAAAAAGCTTTCGCGCAGCCTGGTTGTTCGGGCTTTAATACTGCGAAAGCGTCTGCCGGATGGGAGCAGCGTGAACAGTCCGTGTGAGGGGTGTGTGGAGTCCAGTGCAATGCAGGAGGCCTTTCTTGCACAGCGCTTGTGGAAGATGTCCTGCAGTGATGGAAGAGCCGCTCCAATGATGTTGCCAGCTGCTCTGACAGTCCGCTGTAGACTTTTCCGGTCAGCAGAGCTGGCACTACTGTACCAGATGGAGATGCAGCTCGTCAGGACGCTCTCTATGGTGCCCCTGTAGAACACTGTGAGGGTGGGAGGCGGAAGGCTGGCCCGTTTCAGTCGTCTTAGGAAGTGAAGACGCTGCTGAGCCTTTTTGGTGATGGAGGCGGTGTTGGTGGTCCAGGTGAGGTCATCAGAGATGTGGACTCCCAGGAATTTGGTGTTCTTTACTGTCTCTACTGTGGAGCCGTTGATGTTGAGTGGTGTGTGAGCAGGGAGAGTTCTCCTGAAGTCGACGATCATCTCTTTCGTTTTATCCACATTCAGTGACAGGTTGTTCTCACTGCACCAGACTGCCAGCTGCTGAACCTCATCTCTGTACGCCGACTCGTCGTTGTGGTTGATGAGCCCCACCACAGTTGTGTCATCGGCGAACTTGATGATGTGGTTTGAGCTGTGTCTAGCTATGCAGTCATGTGTCAGCAATGTGTACAACAACGGGCTGAGAACACATCCTTGAGGAGCTCCTGTGCTCAATCTGATGGTGCTGGAAACCTTGTCGCCGATACGAACAGACTGAGGCCTCTCTGACAGAAAGTCCAAGATCCAATTGCACAAAGAGGTACTCAATCCCAGCTCTCTTAGTTTCCCACTCAGCTTTTGAGGGATGATGGTATTGAATGCTGAGCTAAAGTCTATAAACAGCATTCTCACATAACTGTCTTTCTTGTCCAGATGAGTTAGTGAGAGGTGGAGTACAGAAGATATGGCATCCTCAGTTGACCTGTTTGGCCGATATGCAAATTGTAGTGGGTCCAGTGAGCGGGGGAGGGTGCTCTTGATGTGTGCCATCACAAGTCTCTCGAAGCATTTCATGATGACCGGGGTTAGTGCAACAGGGCGGTAGTCATTCAGGCAGGTTACTGAAGATTTCTTTGGCACTGGAATGATGGTGGTGGACTTGAAGCATGTGGGGATGATCATCTGGCTTAGCGATGTGTTGAAAATGTCAGTGAAGACGTCAGCCAGCTGATCAGCACAGTCTCTGAGCACACGACCAGGAATGTTGTCTGGTCCGGCAGCCTTTCGTGGATTGACCTTGGTTAAGGTTCGCCTCACGTCGGCCGTGGGTAGACAGATGACTTGGTCGGTGAGAGG